GCACATAAAGCAAGTAAACGGTGTAGTCAGGGATACTACATCAAAGGTGGGGGAATCAAACAGGATATGACCCTCGATAGTGTCATATCTAAACACAACTGTGGAATTACAAGTCATTGGGTTCAGGCCGAACGCCAGCAATATGAGAGTTCAGAGAACGCCTCTAGGGAAAGAGGAAAGAAAATAAAACCACGGCTAGTGCCGCCCAGCCCGTCAGGTTGCTTCCATGTTTTGTACAGAACCAGGGTTGTTCTTCTGTGGGTCCGCAGGCAAAATGCTCCAGGCCTTAAGGAAGTCCAGACCGGCCTCCATATTTTTAATAGTATAGATTCTGCCTTGATGACGCACTATTATTTTAGTGGGGAATCCCCATTGATAGGCCATATTATGATTTCTAAGCGCTTTCGTGATTGTTATCATTTTTTTTTTCTGTTGGCAAGTGTGGCTTTAGATAGATCCGCATAAAGACGCAAAGTTGCGTGTGAGGATGGTAGTGGAGGTGGATTCCTGGCCGCCATCATAATTCTCTCCTTAATATGGTAGAAGTGGATTCGGACAAGCACGTCTCTAGGAATGGTTGCGGACAAAGAATGAGGGCTTAGGTAGTCGATGTGCTCGATCGATTATGGCCTCTACCTCAGAGAGTGTGGGGATAAGCAGCTTAAAGAAGTGATGTAGATATGGTAGTAATGCTTCGTTAGACACCGTTTCGGGAATTCCTCTAAATTTGATGTTATTACGGCGTGATCGATCCTCCATATCGGCCAATTTGAGGTTGATTTGTTCGATGTCTGATGTGTGATCCGCATGAGCATCAATCAAATCATTGTGCGCTTCCACTATATCCGCTATGTTGGTTTCAACATGGCGGATCCTGCGTTCCTGTCTTTGGACCAGAGTAGTAATTTGGGACAGTGGTGCGGAAATATCATTATGCAATGTTTGGCGCAATAGTGTCAGCATATTTTTCATACATATTTCGGTTAGCGGTTGGTCAGAAGCTGGGAATGCGTCTAAGTCAGGCAGATTGGGAAGTTGAGATTGAGGTATAAAGTTTAGGGCCTGGCATGTGTCCTCAGGGTCTCTATCGAGCCGCGGCTTCGATTTTACAGGGCTGCAGGACGTGGGAGACAGTGGGGGAGACAACTCACCCGGATCCCCTGGATAGAGTTGGTGCTGCAGCCTGGGATCCACAGGCTGGGAGTTGTAGTCCCCCTCCTGGCTGCTGCTGACTCCCGGCATCTCCGCATGGTGGCCGCCATCTTGGATTCCCGGCTGAACGGCTGGGAAGAAATTGGTCAGTTTCCCTGGTTGCCCCGGGCTTTTTTTCCTGCGGGGCATGTCTAGTGGGCTGCGGGCACCCTCCGTGATCAGCTGTGTATGGTTATTTTTCCCTGGGGCCGTAGTGTGCCGCTTCAATGCTGGCGGGTAGACGGAGCAGCGGCTATAGCGCGTCCATCTCCGAGCCGGCCGCGCATGCGCCCTCCTTAGGGGTGTCTTTAGATTCAGTCCTCTGTAGGTTGATCATTTTCATCAAACGATGGGGTATCCGTACATTCCTAACACATTACCCAGTCCATATCAGTATAGATATCCAGCATAATATTTTTCCCCATTGATATCTGATGTGTTTTCAAAGTGTTCCTTTAATTTTGTCGAGGGGTGTATATCTGAAAACTGACGGTCTCATTTCTTGAGGCCCGAAAAGGCCAGGACAGTACAAATTTCCCCTAAATAACCTGTTATTTAGGAAGGGGCATGGCGAGTTTTTTGATGTTGTAATTTGTCACTTTTTTTGGAAAATGAAGAAATTTAAAAAAAAAAAAAAAAAGTAGTTTTTTCCCCTTTTTTTTTTTTTTTAACATACTGTCACCAGTGCAGTACAGCACCATCCTATACAGTGGATATACAAAGTCTACACACCCGTTATAATGTCAGGTTCCTGTGATGTAAAAAAATGAGACAAAGATACATAATTTCAGAACTTTTTCCACCTTTAATGTGACCTATAAACTGTACAACTCAATTTTTTTTGGGGGGGGTAAACATAAAAAACTAAAATAATGTGGTTGCATAAGTGTACACACCCTCTTATAACTGGGGATGTAGCTGTGTTCAGAACTAAGCAATAACATTCAAAATCATGGTAAAAAGAAGTCAGTACACAGCTGTCATCATTTAAAGTGTCTCTGATTAACCCCAAATAAAGTTCAGCTGTTCTAGTAGATCTTTCCTGACATTTTCTTAGTCGCATCCTACAGCAAAAGCCATGGTCCGCAGAGAGCTTCCAAAGCATCAGAGGGATCTCATTGTTAAAAGGTTTCAGTCAAGAGAAGGGTACAAAATAATTTCCAAGGCATTAGATATACCATGGAACACAGTGAAGACAGTCATCATTAAAGAGGAGAAAACATGGTACAACAGTGACATTACCAAGAACTGGACATTCCTCTATAATTGATGAAAAGACGAGAATAAAACTGTTCTGGGAGGCGGCCAAGAGGCCTACAGCAACATTAAAGGAGCTGCAGGAATATCGGGTAAGTACTTGCTGTGTGGTACATGTGGCAACAATCTCCCGTATTCTTCATACATCTGGCCTAAATTTTGCAAAAACACATCTGAAGTCTCCCAAAAGCATGTGGGAAAATGTGTTATGATCTGATGACACCAAGGTTAAACTTTTTGGCCATAATTCCAAAAGATATGTTTGGCGCAAAAACAATACTGCACATCACCAAAAGAACAACATACCCACAGTGAAACATGGTGGTGGCAGCATCATGCTTTGGGGCTGTTTTTCTTCAGCTGGAACTGGGGCTGTAGTCAAGGTAGAGGGAATTATGAACAGTTCCAAATACCAGTCAATATTGGCACAAAACCTTCAGGCTTCTGCTAGAAAGCTGAATATGAAGAGGAACTTCATCTTTCAGGATGACAACGACCCAAAGCAGACATCCAAATCATCAAAGGAATGGCTTAACCAGAAGAAGATTAAACTTTTGGAATGGCCCAGCCAGAGCCCAGACCTGAATCCTATTAAAAATCTGTGGGGTGATCTGAAAAGGACTGTGCACAGGAGATGCCCTTGCAATCTGACAGTTTTGGAGTGTTTTTTGCAAGGAAGAGTAGGCAAATTTTGCCAAGTCAAGATGTGCCATGCTTATAGACACAAACCTAAAAAGACTGAGTGCTGGAATCAAATCAAAAGGTGCTTCAACAAAGTATTAGTTTAATGGTGTACACATTTATGTAACCATATTATTTTAGTTTTTTAATTTTTACTTCCCTCCACCTAAAAGATTTCAGTTTGTTGTTCAACTGAGTTGTACAGTTTATAGGTTACATTAGAGGTGGAAAACGTTCTGAAATGATTTATCTTTGTCTAATTTTTTTACATCACAGAAACCTGACATTTTACCAGGGGTGTGTAGCCTTCTTATATCCACTGTAACTAGTTTTTCAGGGATCAGGGACACTGACTGGTGCTGGTATGTAAAAAAACAAAAAACATTTTTTTTTTTTTTTTTTTCAATTTGTGTTCTTTATTATTTTTTCTCTTTTTACTATACACTGTGATCAGAGCAATATGATGTTATCATAGTAACATTGTACTACTCTGGGGAAGTGATCAGGATTTTTGTTTTCTTTTTTTACACATTATGGTTGCTTATGCCAGTGAATTTCACTGGTATAAGCAACCATTTTACTGAATGAAATTGATTCATTCAGTATTTACTTTATTTGTGGTTAGCTGTGATTGGCCACAGCTATTCACACGGTACAAATGGGCTGTGTGATTGGCCCTGTCTGTACCATGTGATCACTGTGACCAATCACAGAGATCAACACAATAGTACTCAATGGATGGCATGAATAAATGCCATCCATTGTGTACAATTGTCATGTTATCTGCTGTGATCAGTTGCAGCGATCACATGGTACCGGCAGCGACCCGTACACTGATCTGTCATCCGCCGTGTCCGGGCAGGAAGCGGTTGAAAATATGACCACACACAGAAAAAAAAAAAAAACAGAACTGTGGCCAAGTAATTTACACATTCTTAAAAGAACTAAATTAGCTTTAAAACAACCCCTCACTGACCCCTATAGCTGCAGGTACCGTGAATTCAGAAGCACTTTTGCTTATATTTATCAGTTCAGTTTTTTTAGCTCACCACTTCCAGCAGTAAGGTGGCAGCTTTCCAGTCTTCTAATCACTAATGTAAACCTAAGGAGGTGCAAAGGAAGTAGGAAAGAACATGCAGAGGCCAAACTTGAAGAATTTCACTGTATCTCTCATAAATTTTGAGAATTAATTACTCTATGGTACCTGCAGCTACAAACTTAGGCCTGCTCCACATAGACAGTTATCTGCATACAGGGGCAAGAATAAGTGCATTCTTGCAGCTGGGATCACAGCTGCTCAGGCTCTATACCAAGCAATGACAAACAGAGTAGCCATTTTGTTTCCAGATGCATCCTTTCCTAAATATTAGTACAGCTTAGTCTACCATCCTGCCCCTCCAGCCACAGCAGTGTTAGCCTCTCATAGACTTTTGCAGGCTTCCGACAGCAGTCAGGACAGAGTACTTCTGCCTTCTGCCCAAACCTAAATGCCAAAGCCTCATGCACCGGTCCTAAACACCCAGTGTGTATGAGGTCTAAAAATCAGCCAAGCTTGAGTAGAAAAGCCTGTGACCTTTCAGCATGCTGCAGAAAGGAAGTCTTGCCCTCTGTGTGGAAGCGTTTATCACTTTGCAAAAGTCCAACACTGCTGCAGCACCTAAGTAACAGAGCCTCATGCACCGAAGTTAAACCCCCAGTGTGACTGAAGTCTTAAAGAATAACTAGAGAGACTTTCAATGCCTTTTGTTTTGATGCACCTAGAATGTATTTAGACAATTTCAAGTCACAAGTTTAATTGGGCTTTAAACATCACTCTCTGTCAAACCTGAATGGCCACAATGAATTAAACAATACAACAATGTAACACATACCAGGGTTGGAAGAATTGGAGAGAGCCAGGCATGTCTGCCATCACTGGTATTATTTATGCCATCAATGAGCTTGTCAGGGGTTCTCACATCTCCACATATTTCTTCTAAAATGTTAATGCTTTCTGGATAAGCAGCAATATCTAATAAAAGTCAAGTTAATTTTATACAAGTTTTACAATATGCATAGTAGATTTTGGGAAGTACTATAAAGCACAATTTGAGAAAAATAAACATCTATTAACATTTATGTTCCTATACTTTAGCAAAAATGTAAATGTTTATAATTTTATATTTAACCCTTTCAGCCTATATTCTCGGGACAAATTTAGCAGCATCAGCATGTATTGGTTAAATTGGCTATACCTCTATGACCATTTGGCAAAAATAGATGCTTTGTATATCCACTTGAAGATCAGGCCTTTTCTTTCACTTTGTTTACATGTAACAATCAGTATTTTTTGCTAGAAAATTTCTTAGAACCCCCAAACATATTTTTAAAGCAGAGGCCCTATAAATTGGTGGGTTGTGCATTTTTTTTGTCACACGGTTTTTGCAAATGCAATTTTTTTGAAAAAAAAAAAAAAACTTTTTTGAATTTTAATGCAAAAAAAAAATACATAATCCAATTTTTGTAAAATATAAAAGATGTTAAGCTGAGTAAATAGATACCAAATATGTCATGCTTTAAAATTGCACATGCCTGTGCAACAAACAACGTAAATTTTACTTTCCATAGATGATGCTTTAAAAGCTTTTACAGATTACCACTTTAGACTTACAGAGGAGGTCTGGTGCTAGAATTACTGCATTCGCGGTGATACCTCACATTTGTGGGACAATCGTTGTTAGCATGCGTGCGCGAGACTGCCGCGTGCGTTCACCTTTGCGTGCAAGTACATGGGGGATGGAGGCACCGGCTGGTTGATCAGGACTCCCGGAGGGATGGGAGAATCCGGTAAAGGCTGGAAGTTCCTGAGAAACAGGGTGGTCCTAATAGAATTCCCAACAAGCAGGTAGCACATGTACCTTTGTTAGCACTCATATTAGCAGTCAGCCTTTTTATAGCATAGATAGAGAGAGCTCTCAGTCAACTCACACATACTGTAAAAAGGCTTATAGCCATCTGAGACTAATTAACCACTTGCCTACAGGGCACTTATACCCCCTTCCTGCCAGGCCAGTTTTCAGTGCTGTCGCACTTTGAATGACAATTGCGCGGTCATGCAACACTGTACCCATATGAAATTTTTAAAAACTTTTTGAGACAGATAGAGCTTTCTTTTGGTGGTATTTAATCACCTCTGGGTTTTTTTTTTTTTTTTGCTAAGCAAACCAAAAACAACTGAAAATTTCTTAGTTTTGTTTGTTATAAAATTTTGTAAATAAGTGATTTTTCTCCACTGATGTGCGCTACTGAGGTTGCACTGATGAGCACTGATAGGCTGCACTGAGAGGTGGCACTGATGAGGAGGCACTAGTAGGTGGCGCTGATAGGCATCATTGATAGGCACTGAAAGGCAGCACTCATATATGGCACTGATAGGCGGCACTGACTGGCAATGATAGACATTGATAGGTGGCACTGACTGGCACTGATAGGCGACACTGAAAGGCAGCTCAGATGGGCACTGATATGTGGCATTGATGTGCACTGGTAGGCACTGATAAGTGGCATTGATGAGGCACTGATGGGCACTGGCAGGTGGCATTGATGAGCACTGACAGGTAGCACTGCTGGGGCTGCACTGATCATCAGGGCACACTGTCCCCTCCGAGGAATGCAGATTACCAGCTCTCCTCTCCTCTCGAGCGGTCAGCGTGACAGCTCGTGAGGAGAGAAATGCAGATAACCGGCATTTCCCTATTTACATGCGATCAGCTGTGATTGAACACAGCTGATCACATGCCTGAGCCGACATCTTTGGCTCATTCCATTGATCAGTGATCCGCTGTGTCCAAGGGACACAGCACACTACCGATCACCGCGCTGCACACTCCCGGAGCCGCACACACGCAGTTAGAGTGGTAAGACGTCGTATGACGTCCTCCCAGAATGAGAGAACTGCCTTGTGCCCATCATTACCTTATATGGCGGGTGGGAGGCAGTTAATAAGGTCTGGCTAGCTGGTAAGTTGTGGACCTAGGAAAAAAAGGCTTCATCTCCCCTGGACCCACTCACCCAGACCCAGTGGTCAGAAAGGAGGGGGGGTTGGTTTGCTTCTATCCCCACTGAGCACTTTTCAAGTCCTTCCTAACCCTCCCTCTCTATCCTTCTCTTCTTTCGAGACTCACTGCATTCGGCTGTTTTCTCCCATTTCTCTGAGGATTGCAGTGATCTATCGGCCTCCTGGACCGGTGTCCCGCTTTCTTGATGATTTCTCTGCCTGGCTACCCTACTTTCTCTCCTCTGAACTACCCACTATCATTCTTGGAGATTTTAACATCCCAATTAATGTCAACAACCCGGCTACATCCCAACTCAACATAACCTCATCTTTTGCATTAGCAGAATGTATACAGTCCTCCACTCACTCTGATGGGAATACATTAGACCTTATTTTCTCCCATCTTTGCACTCCCTACAACCTCACAAACACCCCCTTTCCTCTCTCTGATCATAATCTCATCACCTTCACAGTGTCCTCATCTTCAAACACCTATCCCTCCAAGCAGCAAACAATTACCCGCAGAAACCTTCATAGCTTGAACCCTGCTCCTTTCCACTCTGCAACTGACCAACTCTATGACAGAATCTCTCCCCTGTCCTGCCCTGACCCGGCCACTGCTGTCTACAACAGTTCATTTCCATCCACATTAGACTCACTTGCTCCTCTAACAACACGAAGCATCAGGCCCCGACCATTACAACCGTGGCAGACTGACGACACCAGAAATCTTAAGCGACATAGTCATGCGCTGGAGCGATTGTGGGATAAAACCAAATCTCAGCAAGCATTCACCTTGTATAAATCTGCATTCTTAACATACACTTCCTCCCTCCATGCTGCCAAACAAGCCTACTTTGTCACTCTCATCAATAGCTTGTCATCCAGTCCTCGTCGTCTTTTCTCTACTTTTAACTCTCTACTTTCTCCACCTCCAAACAGTAGCTCACTCACTGCTCACGAGATTGCAAATCATTTCAAAAACAAGATTGATGCAATTCATAGGGGCATCGCCACTGCACAGACATCCATCCCACTTAGCATACCTTATACTAAACCTCCCTCAACACTTTCCTCTTTTGACCTTGCTACTACTGAAGAGGTCACTAAGGTTTTCTCAGAAGCCTGTCTCACCACGTGCCCCCTGGATCCTGTCCCGTCACACTACTACAGTCACCCTCTTCTTCCATCCTATGCTCCTTCACTCACATCTTCAATCTCTCCCTCTCTAAACGGTGCCTTCCCCTCCCCTCTAAAGCATGCACAGATCACTCCCATACTTAAAAAGCCCTCCCAGGATCCCACCAATCTGAACAACTTAAGACCCATCTCCCTGCTGCCATTTACCTCAACTCCTAGAATGCTTAGTCTACAATAGCCTGAGCTCCTACCTCACTGACAACAAGCTTCTTGACCCTTTACAGTCTGGCTTTCGCTCACTCCACTCCACTGAAACTGCCCTACTAAAACTCACTAACGATCTACTAACAGCTAAAACCAATGGCCACTACTCCGTACTCTTACTACTTGACCTCTCTGCGGCTTTTGATACCGTTGACCATCCCCTCCCCTCCTCAAAAAAACTCTACTCTCTTGGCCTCCGAGACTCTGCTCTCTCCTGGTTCTCCTACTACCTTTCGCAGCGCTCCTTCAGCGTTACCTAGAACTCTGCCTCCTCCTCTCCACTTCCTCTTTCTGTAGGAGTCCCTCATGGTTCTGTCCTTGGACCCCTTCTCTTCTCCATCTACACCTCCTCCCTTGGTCACTTGATAATCTCCGACGGCTTTAAGTACCATCTCTATGCTGATAACACACAAATCTATCTTTCTACCCCTCACCTCACTCCTTCAGTCTCCTCTCGCATTACTAGCCTACTAAGTGACATATCGGCATGGATGTCATTCCACTTCCTCAAACTCAATCTTTCCAAAACTGAGCTCTTAGTATTCCCCCCCCCCAGCCCGTGCCCCCTCCCCTGACTTCTCCATCACGATCAATAACACAATCATCAGTCCCTCCCCTCATGCCAGGGTACTAGGTGTAAAATCCTAGACTCCCATCTGTCTTTTCAGCCCTAAATCCAATCGCTGTCTAAATCTTGTAGACTTCAAACTCCGCAACATTTCCAAGATATGGCCATTCTTAACCTAGGAAACCACTAAGCAACTTATTCACTCCCTGGTTATCTCTCGCCTTCACTATTGTAACTCCCTCCTCATTGGCCTACCTCACCGCAGGCTATCCCCTCTTCAGTCCATCATGAATGCTGCTGCCAGACTCATCCACCTTACTAACCGTTCTGTATCAGCCACCCCTCTCTGCCAATCCCTCCACTGGCTTCCCATTTCCCAACGCATAAAATTCAAAACATTAACAATAACATATAAAGCCATTTATAACTCTGCCCCAAATTACATCACTGATCTTGTCTCCAAATATCACCCAAACCATACTCTCCACTCCTCACACGACCTCCTGCTCTCTAGCTCCCTTGTCTCCTCCTCCCATGCTCGTCTCCAGGACTTCTCCAGAGCTTCCCCCATCCTCTGGAATTCTCTGCCCCAATTTATCAGACTATTGCCTACTCTGCTCACTTTTAGGCGATCTCTGAAAACCTCTCTCTTCAGGGAAGCCTATCCTGCCATCAGCTAATAATGGAATCTTCTACTCTTTCTACCAGTCCATCCGCTACAGTTACTAACTTTTGTACCACTAGCCCCTTCCTCATAGATTGTAAGCTCCGAGGAGCAGGGCTCGCCTATCCTTCTTGTATTGAACTGTATTGTCTCCCATTACATTGTAAAGCACTGAGCAAACTGTTGGCACTATATAAATCCTGTAATATAATAATAATAATCTCACCCAATGCTCTATGTAGCTTCTGGGCACCAGGACCCAAACCTTTAGAGCTAAGAAAATAAAAGTTTGTTTTTTTCCATAATAGACATACAGTAAATCACAAAGGCTTTTTAGGCAAGAAATCTAGGTGACACAAACAGTGCTCAGCATAAATGAGTACACTTCTTTTAAAAAGTTGGATTTTAACGGCTTCCCATCTGCCCTATAGCAGAAATACTGCTACAGGGCAGCATGGGTGCGCAAAATCAGGTATATATACATGATTTTGCAGTTCTGAGTAGTAGGCCCGCACACACCCTACCCATGCCGCCATTCACGGCCGCAGCTGTCAAACACCGGCTCCCAGCTGGTGATTACTTGCCGCCACCCGGTGATTGCTGAGGGTATCCAAACGGGGAGGAGAACTGTTTGTAAACAAAACAGTTCTCAGCCCTGTCAACTCGTGCACACTGCTTTGCATGGCACAGCCATATAAAGCAGTATGCTTACAGTGAAACGCAAACACACCCAGCACACAGTTAACCATTTGATCGCCCTTCATGTTAACCCCTTCCTGCCCAGTGCCATTAGTACAGTCAAAAAGTGTGAGAGAGAGACACTGACTGGGGGAGATTAGAGGAGAGGAGCGGCCCATAAAGAGTCTCAATTCCCGGCTGAAGAAACATGAGGTCACCATCACTGTACTTCCACAATAGAGATCCCTCGTCTCTGAAATTTACGAAAAGGCTCTGAGCTAACTGATCTTAGAGACCCCCAGAGGAAGCGTGGCTGCATATGGAGCTGGTGTCGAGTAGAGAGATCCTTGCTCCAGGCTGGCTGGCTGTTCCATTTAAAGGGGCCCCTACAGAGTCATATTGGTTCAATGCGCGCAACCTATGTGCATCTGGTGAATGAGCATTTTATACATTGCTGCATGGAGTCACATAACAAGGATTATTATTATGGAAATTACCTATGAAGTTGAAGTTTAACCACTTGTATTGCTGACCTATCCGAGTCAAGCCTGCACGTCTTTCCACATATCTCTACTCATTAGACTGTGCAATATTTTTCTCATTTGAGCGCCTCAATAAGCGCCATATTCATTTGGTAGTTTTACTGTACTGAATTTTAATATATATTGTCATATTTTAGCATTGCACCTTTATATATATATATATATATATATATATATATATATATATATATATATAATATATAAACTTTTACTAGGTTGGTTGGATATCCTATGTTGGTGCAATTTGCAGCTGGTTTTTTAATGTATTTATTTATATACTATATTTTACATATATTGAGCGCTCGCTGTACATATTTTATTTGTTCTTAAAAAATAAAAACCGCACAGGTGATCAAATACCACCGAAAGAAAGCTCAATTTGTGGGAAAAAAAGGTCATACATTTAATTTGGGTGCAGCATTGCACGACTGTGCAATTGTCAGTTAAAAGTAACACAGCGCCGTACCGCAAAAAATGGCCCGGTCAGGAAGGGGGGTAAATCCTCAGGAGGGCAAGTGGTTAATCAATATCTCAAAGCGATTCTAAAAGGTTAATTTCTTTGGGGGGGGGGGGGGGAATAACAAACATGCTATCCTATACCTGCTGTAGTGGTTTTGCACAGAGTAGCTCAGATCCTCCTCTTCTAGGTACCCCCACAGGCTCTTCTGGACCCTCCCCCTCCTGTCGGGTGCCCTCACAGCAAGCAGCTTGCTATGGAGGCACCGGCTGCTCTGTGTATCCATTCAGACACAGAGCCATGGCTTGGCCACGCCCCCCTCTCCTCAGTGGCTGACTGGCTGTGATTGACAGCTGTGGGAGCCAATGGCTCCAGCTTGCTGTCTCAGCCAATGAGGAGGCAGAGACCTGGGACAGCTGAGTCCGTCATTCACATCGCTGGATCATGATGGGGCTCAGGTAAGTATTGAGGGGGATGGAGGCACTGCTGCAAACAGAAAGTTTTTTTTTTTACCTTCCTGCATAGAATGCAGGAAGGTAAAAAAAACCTTGAGCCTTTACAACCACTTTAATGAACACAAGAACAATTTCAAAAATTTTTACAAAACTGAGTTTTAAAGAACATTTGTTTAGCTCAATACATGAAAGTAAGGTTAATATAACTTAAAAAATCTTCAGTTTTACTCAAATTAGTTGATGCAAAAATGAATACACCCAACAACAAAAACTACTACATCTAGTATTTTGTATGACCTCCATGAGTTTTAAGGACAGCACCAAGTCTTCTAGGAATGGAATGAACAAGTTGGCAATATATTGCAACATCTATTTTTTTCCATTGTTAAAGAACGACCTCTTTTAGAGCCTGGATGCTGGATGGATAGTGATGCTCAACTTGTCTCTACAGAATTCCGCATAGCTGTTTGATTGGGTTTAGATCAGGAAACATTCTTGGCCTGAATCACTTTCACCCTGTTTTTCTTCAAAAATGCCACAGTGGCCTTAGATGTGTGTTTTGGATTATTGTCATGTTGGAAAAGTGCGACGACCAAGGGCACGGAGTGATGATAGCATCTCCCTTTCAATATAGAGTAGTACACATCTGTGGATTTATACCATCAATGAAATGCAGCTCCCCAACACCAACAGCAGTCATGCAGCCCCACAGAAGGACACTGCCACCATGTTTCACTGTAGGCACTATGCATTTTTCTTTGTACTTCTCACCTTTGCGAAAAATAAAGGTTTTCTGACAAATTTGTTGGGGTGTACTCATTTATGCTGAGCTCTGTACACCATAGAAAACCCTATCAGACAGTGCCTCACATACCCTCCCTCTCCACTCAAAACTGCGGGAAGGAGCATATTTTGACAAAAAACAGTGGGCACGACAGTCCATCAATCCCTTGCTGGGTCCCTGGCAACATTTTCTGTACATCATTGAAATGGGTTTCTCCGGGCTCCAGATCCTTAATAAGGATTTAACTTTATTTTGACATAAGGTTCAGTCAAGTAAATCTGAAAAAACACCTCTTGCTTTTTCTGCAAGAACCCTCCCACATCTTGAATCTGAGTAGTAGACAGGTCCCTTGACATCCTAACCTCTGGAATACCTTTCATTGTTTTTCACCTTTCGAGTTGCTTTTTCAAGTCTCTAACGTAATAGCGGGTGTGTTGTTTTGGGCTTTTATTTGTGTGAATGACCATTCTGCTCCCCACAGAGGTCGTTCCAAACAGCACAAGCTGAAAGGTACTGTACTCACTCTCCTTCAAAATAGCAGGCAGCTGGCTAGTGGGTGGGTATGGGCTTTTTCTTTGCAGTGTAAGGCTGCTTTCACACTGATACATTTTTCTTCCACTTTTACGTTAACAAAAAGTGGAAAAAAAAGAAAAATGTGACCGTGTAATCCTTTGGAACTCTTCACACTGATCCATTGTGGTTCTGCTGTGTTTCTTAAAATCCTGATTGCTGTACTTTTGGTGCAGGTTTGGTGCAGTAAAAAAAGAAAAAACATTTAGCATAAACTATTTCTGATGGGAGAAAAATCTTTGAATTCTTGCACCCCTTAGAACATTATTCAATTGAGAAGGATACTATTTTCCGAGAGCTGAATTTTTTCTCCGTGTTCATCATACATCTCCAGACCATTCAGTCCGATGTAATATGGGTCTCCCCAACTGGTAAGCAGCTGAAATTGGAAAAGAACTGAAATATACATTAAGGAAAGTCTTTTTTGTAACAGATTACATTAAAATGAAGCCTAAAATATCCTGGATTTAAACTACAGCAAAGATAAATCGTGATGGCAGTCTCCTACTTTTTATGTATTCACTTCATATCATGTTATGTATTCTCTGTATTTTATGTTTTTCCATAGGTCCCATAACTTCTAAACTGCCAATGGACATATCAGCCCATGAAACCATTTTACATTCACACAACTTTAGTACGTTTTTGTAAGCCAACTTGCACTATTTACAATAGATCAACAATGCTTAAATGACAAAGTGATTAGGAAAAGAAGAAGCAGCACAGTGGCTAAAGGGTTAGCATTTACTCATGGCAGTACTAGGGTAGCTGTTTTGAATACCATCCACAGCACTACCTGACTGGAGTTTGCATGTTCTCCCTGTGCCTGTGTGGGTTTTCTCCCACACTTTATTTGGCTCCTGTCTAAATTGGCCCCAGTATGTGTACTTATGAATGTAAGTTGGAGACCTTAGATTGTACGCTCTTTGAGGGTCAGAGACTGATGTGAATTTACAATATATATGTAAAGTGCTGCGTAAATTGACAGTGCTATATAAGTACCTGTAATAAATGAAATAAATAAATGATGTTGCAACTGGGTTACTGTCATTTTATTATGGAGTATCATTGCTCCTGATGTTGCTTCACTACAGCTGCCCATAAAAGCAACAATTCTCATTTCGAGCATAAATTGCATCAGGTTGCTTGTTGGGAAATCTAAATACAAGGTAGTCCTTGTAACTGTAGTATTAGATCCTTAAATGTATACACAGAATCAAAAATTCGAAACAAAAGGATACAGCCGCATGGCATTAATGGTGCTTCATTAATCCATGCTGGTTGGCTCTGTGCATTTTGAAAAGCTAAAAAAAGAATGAATTAGCATTTAGTGTGAAATACACTTAAAATATAGGACGGTTTAAAACTGAATGTTTGTATGCATACAATGTGTTATATTTTTGCCAGAATCAGTGCTATGAAGAAACATTGTCAAATCCAGCAAACAAGCTGACAGAAGCAGCAAACAAACTGACAGAATATATATTTTTGACTGTTACCTGGACTGTTGTTTATCACACTGACGTTCTGTCACATAGTCAACAAACAGAATCTCTTGAGCAAAATCAAAGTGACAGTTGCCAGGACCCTTCCGAATCAGAAATCCCTGGGGTGGGGAAATGCAGCATCCATCAAGAGTTACCTGCACTATTTTTGCCTAAATGAAAAGCGTTTTGGTTAGTCAGACTAGTAAAATTGTAAGCACATCTTACACAATCAATACATTTTCAATTTACTGTACCTTAGAATTTTCATGTATTAATATAGCATTGAGGAATTTCCTGCAACCTAGTTATTGCTTCTCAGTACAGCTAAATTCTTGCAGGCTTTTTTTCAGCCACATGCATACCCTTCAGCGAATGCTGCATAGCTATTCTCATCTTGGGTTTTCTGATAGTGAAAACAAGGAACCATGATTGTGCAATCTGTGTAAAACCTGTCCCCTATTGTTGCCATTGGAAGCCTGTGTGACAAACAATATATATGAGAATAAAGTGCAGATATTAGCCCCATAGGGTCCTGGGATTGTAACATTCGAATATGGGGGTAATTTGATATCCTGAGACTCTGGGAGCCAAATTGAGTTGTAAGTATTATTATTATTATTCCTCCAGATTTATAAAGCTCCAACAGTTTTCAAAGTGCTTTACAATGTGATAGCAAACAGTACAGTTACAATACAATTCAATACAGGAGAAATCAGAGGGTCCTGCTTGTTAGAGCTTACAATCTAAAAGGGGAGGGGTCAAGTGATACAAAAGGTAATAACTGTGGAGAATGAGCTGATGGAGAAAATAAAAGTACAGTTGTTAGGTGGAGGTGGATAGGCCTCTCTGAAGAGAAAAGTTTTCTGGGATCGCCTAAAAGTGAACAGAGCATGAGATAGCCGGACAAATTGGGGTAGGGCGTTCCAGAGGATGGGAGAGGCTCAGGTAAAGTCCTGGAGGCGAGCATGGGTGGAGGTGACAAGGGAACTAAAAGAACCTATGGGCAGGTTGTATTACATATGAAAAATAGTCAATGGTGCACAATGCTCCGTTATCATACATATATGATAGGGTAAGTAAGTCCCTCTGCTTCCATAGTGATTGGGGTTTTATGTATTTGAAGGACCTAGATCAGCAATGGGCAAACTACGGCCCGCGGGCCGTATACGGCCCGGCGGACCTTTTATAATCCGGCCCGCGGAGCTAGGCTCCCGCAAGGCCAGTGGTCGGCAAGCCGCGGCTCTTTACAAATTTAGATGCGGCTCTCCTGTGTGCCGGGCGCCCGCTCCCCTCCCTCCTCTCCTCCTCTCCCCTCCCCTCCTCTCCTCTCCTCTCGGATGGCCGCCCCCCTCTCTCGGATGGCCGCCCCCCTCCCTCCTCTCGGACGTCAGAAACTCTGCAGCTGTCAAATGTAGGCGGGGCAGCCAGGATGTAGGCGGGGCAGTGTGACGAACTCCTCTCACAGTCCTCCCTGAAGACCAGAACGGCGCGGGAATACGAGAGGAACGCACGGACCAAAGGTAAGTGAATTGACACAGGGGGGGACTTACTATATGGGGGATGAATTACTATATGGGGGACTTACTATATGGGGAATGAATTACTATATGGAGGACTTACTATATGGGGAATGAATTACTATATGGGGGACTTACTATATGGAGGACTTACTATATGGGGAATGAATTACTATATGGGGGACTTACTATATGGGGAATGAATTACTATATGGGGGACTTACTATATGGGGAATGAATTACTATGGGGACTTACTATATGGGGGATGAATTACTATATGGGGGATGAATTATATGGGGGATGAATTACTATGTGGGGGGATGATAATTACTATGGGGGATGAATTACTATGGGGGATGAATTACTATAGGGGGGATGAATTACTATGGGGGACGAATTACAATGGGGGACGAATTATATATGGGGGACGAATTACTATATGGGGGACGATATTACTATATATGGGGGACGAATTACTATATGGGGGATGAATTACTATGGGGGATGAATTACTATATGGGGGATGAATTACTATGGGGGATGAATTACTATGGGGGATGAATTTACTATATGGGGGATGAATTACTATGGGGGATGAATTACTATATGGGGGATGAATTACTATATGGGGGATTAATTTATATGGGGGATTAATTACTATGCTTACTATGGGGGAATATTACTATACTTACTATGGATGACACATACACATCATTCATCTACTCTTGGTCCGGCCCCCGGGTCCAATATATGAACCCATTGCGGCCCTCAAGTCAAAAAGTTTGCCCACCCCTGACCTAGATGAATTTCTCCATGTGGTTCACTGACCCGGAGCTATCCCAGATCAAAACTTGTAAATTAATTTTTTTATTGATTTTACATTTTCTCTGAAAGAAACACAATTCTTTTGTTACCATAGAGTAAAGATCGGGGGCAAAAGGTATTAGGTATCCCAAAGGTGCTTCTGACGAATCACAGAAACTACAGAACTTACAGTATGCCTTTGAAATGCTGCTAGTATAAACATTCTTGGTTGACATGCCAAAAATTCAGTGTGCTCCAAACTTACTATTTAATTTGACAACACAGTGCTTTTGCTGGTCTGAAATTCAAGGCAACATTGTCAGCCCTTCCTGCTAAAACAAACTTCCACCTATCACCGCCTGCCTCTCTCTGTCCCACTTTACATACATACATTGATATCTTTTTCAGCAAAACAATGCTGCTGTCTTGACTCCCAAGAGCCTGCACATACATTGTGTGTAAGGAAAAGGCTCATAGGAGATATTGATCTTGGAGTATGCATACATTAACTGCTTGCTGACCGTCTACCACACTTTTACTGTGAAAAACTGGCCCAGTTGAGCTGGATTGTGTACATATACAGGGGTTGGACAAAAAAAAATGGAAACACTACATGATTTGCGGGTGTGAAAGTGACAACATGTTTTGTGTTGAAAGAAGTGATGTAACACTTTTGCTTCCGCTGTGTGATGAGACTTCACGGGACTGAGATTGAGCTCTGCAGTCACTTTTGCAGCAGTTGTTTTCTTATTCCAGGTCACAATCCTACCACCATGCCATCCGTGCTTATGCTTAACAGACGTCATTTTCCCAGAAACTGTATATTCCATCATAACCTTTAAATACTGTAACTCGTGACACGGCAAATAAATTGGCAACTTCAGTCACAGAAGCACCAGCTAAGCAAGGACCAACAATTTGCCCTCTTTGAAGCTCAGAATATTGAGGTATGGCGACTGCAGCACCCAGGGAACATGCGAGAAATCTGCTTGCTCCTCAAACCATGATTTGACAACACCAGCTGTGTGAATTGAAGCACTATCATCTCGGTAAATGGTGCTGTCTTCGGGAAACAATGTCTGCACCATGGGGCGCACATGGTCGGTCCAAGTTTTTACACAGTCACAGGCAGTGACTCTACCTTTTCAAGGTGATGATGGGGCCTGCAGAATACCAAGATATGGCTGCCCAAACCATGATTGCGCCGCCACCATGCTTTACCGTTGGCACAAGACAGTCCTGGTTGTAAGCACTTATATCAGATGACATTTTCCCGGAAACTGTATATGCCGTCATAACCTTTGATACTGTACCTTGTGAAATGGCAAATAAATTGGCAACTTCAGTCACAGAGACACCAGCTAAGCAGGCACCAATAATTTGCCCTCTTTGAAGCTTAGTAAACTCTGACATGACTCTATATTACTAGCAGCACACGCAATAATTGACAAAAGTGAATCTTCCCACCTATCAGCTAAGTGTCTCATCACACAGCGGAAGTAAATTAATGTTACATCACTTCCGCTTTCAATGCGAAACATGTCCTCACTTTCACACCTGCAGATCATGTAGTGTTTTCACTTTTCTGTCTAAACCCCTGTATGTGATCCAGCATCTCCGGGTAGGGGACGTGTGTGCCGCTCCCCTGTGTTTAAATTTGCAGAGAACAAGTCGGTCAGCAGGTCCCGGACAATAATTTATGTCCTGGACCTCATGATCAGCTTAGCAAATGACAGTATAGAGCCCTGTGCTTACTAAGAACACAGGGCTCTGTACATAGGAGCAGCGATGTGTCTGTCAGTTAGTCTTGGCGCACTATCACAGTGGCACTATAAGTCACTGACCACCGCCATTACCAGTATAGCATCTATAGAGGTGTGTGTGTGTGTGTGTGTGTGTGTGTGTGTGTGTGTGTGTGTGTGTGTGTGTGTGTATACACACGTACATATTTTTTTTTTTTTTTTATATGTTTTATAGCAGAAATTAAAAAATATAGTGTTGTTTTTAAAAAATGTTGGTTTTTTTTTGCTGTTTAATAAATAATAATCAAAAACCCGCAATGATCAAATACCAACACAAAAAAAGCTACCGTATTTGCCGGCGTATAAGACGACCCCCTACTTTTCCTGCTAAAATGTAGTGTTTGGGCTATACTCGCCGTATAAGACTACCCCTCTTCCAATGCACACCAGTGGGAGGAATAGTACCCCATTATCGGTGTCAGTGGGAGGAATAGTGCCCCATCATTGGTATTAGTGGCAGGAATAGTGCCCCATCATTGGCATTAGTGGCAGGAATAGTACCCCATCATTAGTATCAGTGGGGGGGAATAGGTGCCCCATCATTGGTATCAGTGGCAGGAATAGTGCCCCATCATTGGTATCAGTGGGAGGAATAGTGCCCCATCATTGGTATCAGTGGGGGGAATAGGTGCCCCATCATTGGTATCAGTGGTAGGAATAGTGCCCCATCATTGGTATCAGTGGCAGGAATAGTGCCCCATCATTGGTATCAGTGGCAGGAATAGTGCCCCATCATTGGTATCAGTGGGAGGCATAGTGCCCCAGCATTGGTATCAGTGGGGGGAATAGTGCCCCATCATTAGTATCAGTGGGGGGGAATAGTGCCCCATCATTGGTATCAGTGGCAGGAATAGTGCCCCATCATAGTGCCCCATCATTAGTATCAGTGGGGGGGAATAGTGCCCCATCATTGGTGTCAGTGGGAGGAATAGTGTCCCAACATTGGTGTCAGTGGGAGGAATGGTGTCCCATCATTGGTGTCATTGGGGGGTGGAATAGTGCCCCATCATTGGTGTCAGTGGGGGGCGGAATAGTGCCCCATCATTGGTGTCAGTGGGGGGGGGGGAATAGTGCCCCATCGTTGGTGTCAGTGGGGGGGGGGGAATAGTGCCCCATCGTTGGTGTCAGTGGGGGGGAGGAATAGTGCCCCATCATTGGTGTGAGTGGGAGGAATAGTGCTCCATCATTGGTATCAGTGACACCAATGATGGGGCACTATTCCTCCCACTGACACCAATTACACTTGCTGACCCCTGTTGCAGTATGGTGCTGCTGCAGCCAGCATATGTGGTTGCAGCAGCACCTCTATACTGCACACTTACCTGCTGCTCCTGCACTCGATTTTCACGGGGGCTACTCGGCTCTGCCCCCTCGCCGGTGATTGGCCGCCTGTGTGCCTTTCCTGCGCTACAGTTCTGGCAGCCAATTACCGGTGAGGAGGCGGAGCCAAGCAGCCGCACGAACATCCAGTGGCCGAACCGAAGGAGCAGCCGCGCTTCCTGGACAGGATCATCGTGGGACCGGATCTAGGTAAGAGACAGCAGCCCCTGCCCACCACTGTACTTAGTGTCCCTTCCGTTGGAAGGGGGGGGGGGGGGCGGCACCGCGCCGCCCCCCTAAAAAGTGTCAGTCTGCCGTATACCGGCGTATAAGACGACCCCCGACTTTTGAGAAGATTTTCAAGGGGTAAAAAGTCGTCTTATACGCCGGCAAATACGGTATTTGAAAAAACCATATAAAATTTCATTTGCACACAGTCTTGCATGACCATGCAATTGCAGGTTAAAGTGGTTGTAAAGGCTGAAGGTTTTTTACCTTCATGCATTCTATGGATGAAGGTAAAAAACCTTCTGTGTGCAACAGTGCCCCCAGCCCCCTCAACACTTATCTGAGCCTTGGCAGGATTCAGCGATGTGAATGACAGCCTCGGCTATCCCGGGTCTCTGTCTACCCATTGGCTGAGACAATCACAGACAATCAGCCAATGGGCAGAAAGAGGGGGCAGGGCCAAGCAGAGGCTCCGTGTGTGAATGGACACACGGGGCAGCTGGTGCCCCTGTAGAAAGCTGCTTGCTGGAGGGCACCCGACAGGAGGGAGGGGCCAGGAGAGCCTGTGGGGGAGAGGAGGATCCAGGCTGCTCTGTGCAAAACCACTGCACACAGTAGGTAAGTATAGACATGTTTGTTATTTTCCCCCAAAAAATTAACCTTTAGAATTGCTTTAAAGCAGCGCAGTGGTAAATAGCAAAAAAAAAAAATGCCCTGGTCATAAAGGTGTTAAATTCTTTCAGAGCTTAAGTGGTTAATACGAAGTGAACTCACAGCAGTAACCCATGTGAAAATTTTAAAAGCTTGGTGATGTCACATGGAATAATTAAAGCAGTTTCCTGCTACAAAACAAGATAAAAAGAAAAATTGAGGTTAAAATTTGGCAAAGCATACCACTTTACCACTATAGCTGGCAGTTAAAAGGTATCACTTTGACCCATGAAGGGTTAACACCTCAACGTATGTTATGATGATTCCAATTATTTCACTTGTATCTGCTGTAATATAATTTGATACTGTACACTCAATATAAAAATGCATTACCCCTCTGTATGTGTCTTCAGGAGACTTATTGTAATTCCAGAACCGCAGTCCAGTAATGGCCTCTGCTTTATCAAAGTTGATAGTTATAGTGTGATTTCCTCCATTGGTAAATGGAATCAGCCACATGTGAGAATCTTCAGTGGTTATTTGTACACCATCAATGAGCCTAAAAAAGAAAATTTAGGTTTGTACATTTTAAGCTTCTTCTTATTTTACATACAGTGCCATACAAAAGTATTCACCCACTTCATGTAAATGTTCATGTATGTTGATTGTATTTAAAAAAGCTAGTTTAGTTATTATTTATAAAAAAACAAGACCACAGCATAACACCATCTTAAATATGGCATCTCTAACTCATCACTGGTGCAGCCAATTCTTTTTCAAAATCACTTAACTAGTTAAATCAAAATTACTTTTCTATAATCAAGGGGTTCCACCTAACTAAATACTCATATATATGGAAGGTTCAACTTTTGGTGAGTATTATGGCATAGCTTAAGCCATCAAGCCATGCAAAACACCACAAAGTAAAAAAGTTTATACATACTTGTCTAAGGTCCTGCAATCATCTTGATAGTCAGGAAGTATGCTCAGGTCTGGAGGTGATGCAGATATTATGTTCATATTCAAAGGCAATGCTTCACCATCTAGTCCCACAATTTCAAGTCCTGTAAGTCCAAGGTAATGCAAGTCCCCCCAGGTCATTGTAAAATTCAACTGAAGACCTGAAAAAAGTAGATTTAGTTAATTTATTCACTATTCATTCATTCACTCACAGGTTGGTGTACAAGCAGCAAAACTTATGGACAGCCTCTGGCCAGTGGAATGGGTGATATTCATTGATACCAAACAGTAAATCACTGCACTTGATGAAGAGTTTACCTGCAATATCACTGCGCAGGTCCTACAGGCTGGAGCCCAAATGTGAGCGCTTTGTTTTTCAAATAGGTTCGCAGCCTGATTCCTTCATCTGTAATGATCTTAAGCCTCAAGGCATATGTTTCTACATACAGTAGCTTATGACTCTTTTTCCTTCAAACGTGTTGGCACTTACTGATAGCTAGCGAGTTGACTGATGGCCATCAGGAAACAATATTATGATAGTACGTATGAGTATGCATGGACTCTTATTAGAATCTCCACACACTCACTAGACACAAGTAAATCGGTAGCCAGACAGCACATCCACCCGTATAACCAGCACATCTACCTGGATAACAACCTTTCATCTGAAGGAGAAATAGGTGTAATCTGTGCTGCAACATATGCCAAAGTCTTAAGATTAATACAATTTGAGGAATCAATCAGTCTGCAAACAATTTTAGTTGAAGTGATGTAACGTTCTTTTGCTTCCGCTACGTGATGGGACACCTAGCTAACAGATGAGAAACCTCACTTTCATCATTCACTGCATGCACTGCTGGTAAAATGGAGTCATGCCAGAGCTTACTGAGCTTCAAAAAGGACAAATTGTTGGTGGCTGCTTAGCTGGTGCATCTGTGACTGAAGCTGCCAATTTACATTGCGGGAGGTACAGCATCAAAGGTTACGATGGCATATACATTTTCTGGGGAAATGTCCTCTGATAAGCATAAGTGTGGTCAATATGGTTAACTGACCGAGAGATAAAAGGACATTGCGCAGGATTGTGACCCGGAAACTGAAGGCCCTTGATTGTAACCCCTGCAATCTATGGCTTTCAAAAGGACTGAGATCCTGCCCATAAAATCAGTGGGTTATATAGCACTAACTACAGGATCACTTTGACAGGGAGCTACTAAAGTAAAAAACAACCAAATTAAGAGTCAATGGGCGGAGAACAGATGCAACTGGAGATGTCATATGAGTGATCCCTTGAATAGAGGAATGAATAGGGGAGAGCTGGTACCAGGGGGGAGAGCTGGTACCAGGGGCCAGGAGCTGATCCCTTTGTAACTGAAGACAAGGGATCTGTCTCACAAAGCAACATGCAGAAGCAGCTTCCTGGTCTCATGCTAACCAAAACAGGCTTTCCAGGTCCAGCAGTTCACACTATGGAAAGTACACGTACACTCTACTTGCCTATAGCATAGTCAAAATGGCATCAACTGCCATGCAGCTAAAGCCTGCAGTTAAGAGGCAGGGTGGTAATACCCTGTGCGATCAAATCTTTACAATTTAGAAGCAGGCCTTGACTGCCAATAATCAGGCTTAGAGATCTGCAAACCACACTCTCCTTGGCCTGCCTAGACCTATAATCAAGGCTGGAATACTTTTAATAATTACCTTTTATATATATATTATATAAACATATAATTTTACTCTAGTTGCTGCTTACTGAGATCATCCAACAAAGCACCAGTCTGTCTGTCTCCCATGAAGAGAAAAGTAGGCTGATGCAACTTAGCACATATCCTGCACTTCAGCACAGAAAAGTACTTAAGGCCAATGCAATCTGTACAGTCACTTGACAAATTGATGGAAACATCTGTAACAGATAAACCCTACTCAGACATCTAGACCAATACAAATGATTCTGAGCCAGGAACACTATAGATTGTACGACTAATCCTTACAACCTATAATCCAAAGGTTTCTGACCATCAGTGGAATTCAAGGAGGGACACACCCCCAACAGAGAAGGATAATGACCTTGTTAAGGCAGGACTCCTGCACACAGGAGGAGTAAAACGTTATACATATAAAGGCTGAAAATTTGGTTTTGGATAGGCTAAAACAATAGTTTTCCCAACTTGTACGATAAAATCATTGAAAAAAAGATGTCTTTGCCAGCAGATTTTAAAGTCGGAACAGTGCTAAAAGGAGCAATGATTCTCATGCCCCCCTTTGCCTTGTTGCGACTGCTAAGTGCTGGGGAACAATGAAGGGCCATATTATCTAAACCCAAGAGTCTCAGCTTTGATTGCCAGAGGGGCAGCATAGATGTCAAGTCTCTGGAAGATTATGCCATAGCCTATTGGAAAGGGAAAACTGAAGTGATTAACACCCTTATGCTCGGCTATAATGACGGTGAACTGAACCCACTTACAATGAGGTAATATCTTTTAAAGAGAAAACGTGGGAGGCAAAAACCCCTGAAAGGCAGGAGAGGATAGAAATAAATTGATTGAACTGTCAAACAAAGTGCAATATATTTTTAAGAAGCAAAACTATACACTGCAGAGCCAGACATGCAGGCAATGACACAAAGAGCAGCAAGATATTCAAATATTGAGCCTGAAACTGAACTGTCAGGCAAGGTCCAAAGCGCATTTGTAGCAGAATGCACACATCAAAGGAAGAAGGCCCAAAAACCACCCTATATGCTCAAAGACAAAACAGGCTCTATAAACTCAGAGCCAAGCATGCTAGGAATTGACACAGGACTGAAAAAAGCAGTACAAGCTCTCATAGAAAAAAAGGAATTTTGACTTATCTGTAAACTCGATTACTTGGAGTACAGTACAGGACACAGGCTGGATATTCATAGACCCTGGGCTGTAGGGCAGCTACCTTCAGGTGATTGGACACTGAAAAACCTTTTCAAACACACTTCCCCCCTTGTGTGTACCCCTATAAAGCGAACCCATGCCATAAAACCTCAGGTTTTTTTAGCAAGCAATACAGAGCAACACAACACTGGGTGGGGGTTAGCCTTTTGTTATGTACAAGATATGGAATGTACATGTAACTTAAATTTCTTTTTAGCTTAATCTAACAATACAGGATACAAGCTGGATATTCATAGACTCTAGGACATCCCAGAGCAATGAATCAGAAGGGTGGGCAACAAGAAGGCAAAGAGAACCATGCCAAGGGTCCTAATAAAACAGGAAAGAGACAAGATGCCATCTCAGAATGTGGATGAAAGAGTGATTGCATCTGCAGAGCCCTGGGCATCCACCTGGTAGAACTTGGAGAATACATGAATTGAAGCCTAGGTGAAGTGAGCACATAATGGTACTGGAGTTACCATATCTTTGAGTGTATAAGCTCTTACAATGTGTTGGAAGCAGCCTTTTTGAGACCCTGTCAGCAGGACAAAAAGACTCTGTTTTTCATATAGAGGCTGTGGTAGAGGAGAGGAGGGGGTGCAAACAAGATGGTTGATGTGTAAGAGAGGTACAATTCTCCTGTCTGAGTGCAGAAAGTATAGTGAAAGCTACACTGTGTCAGAGGGATCCTTACCCACGTATAGTGAGTTCCTCAGAGACTGGGTCAGTCTTTGAGGAACTCACCTGGAACTGCTCTGGAAAGCACATTTGTAGAAACATCCCAGTCCAAGCAAAGTCCAGTACAAAGTACTTTTAGATTTGCCCCGCAGTAACAAAAACTACAGGAATATAGAGCAGGAATATAAAGGTTATAGAGCATTTTCCATGCAATCTAGGTACGACTGCACTCAATTGCCAGGCATAGCTGGAGAGACTATGTAGGACTTGAAAGGTCCAATATAAATCTACCAGCAGCAGTTGACTAAGAAAATTGCACACATCTTAGGACAGCACAGCTGGAGTCGACTGTATAAAATGGAGGCAAGATTGTGTGGGAGGAGTTATATAATTTAGAGTCCACAATCTTCTTGTACTAGTGCCAATTCACATATAGGTGGTGCTACATAATCCATTGTAAAATACAGTTCTTGAGTTTTTCAGTGGACCATAGAGCAGTCCTAACAGTTTTGAAAAGCTAACAGGCAGTAGTGGGAGTATGGAGCTTTAAACTTTGGATCAGAAGAGTATGCTACTGTAAACCACAATGGCTATTTTGCTATTTTGAGTAGTGTAGCCTACACTGGAAGGCAAGTGTACATGGTATGGGGTTTCACGCAAGAAATCTAGAAAGAACCAGAGTCATGAAACCATGCAGAGATGAAAGTAGCAGCACCAGCAGCTACAGCAGAATGATTTAGGTTCCACATTTTATGCAGATGGTACATGTAGTTCTTCGAGCTCTGCTCCAACCTGTAAATGCCATATTACAAGTAGTGCATGGACAAGGCAAAGGCTGAAGTTTGGAAAAAAATGGGTGGGATAATATATAAAAATTGGAAAAGATGTGGAAAAAAAAAAGTGTAGGATCTTGTCAACGTCAAACCAACATTTTGCTGGTACGGAGTAAAAAAATTATTTTACTTAAGTGAAGTTTGCATGATTTAAAAAACATGTAAGTTACTGGAGCTATTTTGTATGTTCTTTGAAAACTCAGTAGAAATGATTGAACAATAAAACAATAAAATACTTACATTTACCACTGTATACACCAGGTATAGTACTGAGAAGATTTGGAGGACTGTCTTCTTTAATTTTCGTATCAAAAGGCTGTAAAACAGAAAAAAAAAAGTTAAAACTGTGAAATGTAATACCACAGATAGAGTCATGGCCAAAAATATTGGCACCTCTGCAATTCTGTCAGATAATGCACCACTTCACCCAGAAAACTGTTGCAATTACAAATATTTAGGCATCCTCATGTTTATTTCTTTTGTTTGTATTGGTATGACACAAAAAAGTGGAGAAACAAAAAGCCAAATCTTACAAATTTCACACAAAACCCCAAAAATGGACTGGACAAAATTATTGGGCACCCTCAATGTAATATTTGGTAGCACACTAGTTGGAAAAAAATAACTGAAATCAATCGCTTCCTGCAACCATCAGCAAGTTACTTACACCTCACTACTGGAATTCTGGACCACCCTTCTTTTGCCAACTGCTCTAGGTCTCAGATTGGAAGGGTTCCTTTTACCAACTGCTATTTTGAGATCTCTCCAAAGGTGCTCTATAGGATTGAGGTCTAGACAGTTCAGTACTCTCCAGCGCTTTGTATTAAACCATTTCTGGGTGCTTTTTGACATGTGCTTTGGGTCATTGTCCTGCTGTATGACCTATGACCTCAGATGGAGACCCAACTTTCTGACACTGGGCCCTACATTGCACCCCAGAATTCTTTCGTAGTCGTTAGATTTCATATTGCCATGCACATGGTCAAGACATCCAGTGCCTGAAGCAGCAAAGAAACCCCAAAACATCAGTGAACCTACACCATGTTTGACTGTAGGTACTGTATTCTTTTCTTTAAAGCCTCATTTCTTTTTCTGAAACCAGTAGAATGACAGGCTTTACCAAAAAGCTGTAGTTTTGTTTCGTCTATCCACAGCACATTCTCCCAAAAGGATTTTGGCTTCCTCAGGTAAGTTTTGGCAAACTCCAATCTGACTTTTTTATGTTTCGGTGTCAGCAGTGGGGTCCTTCTGGGTCTCATACCATTAGCATCCCTTTTCATTCAGATGGCAACATATAGTGCAAGCTGACACAGTTGTACCCTCTGTCTGAAGGTCAACTTGAATTTGTCGGGAAGTTCTCTATCCATCATTCGAACAATCCTTTGTTGCAATTTTTGACCAATTTTTATCTTTTGCCCTTGCCTAGGGAGATTAGTTACAGTGCCATGGGCTGTAAACTTCTTGAAAATGTTGCGCACAGTGGACACAGGAAAATTAAGATCTCTGGATATGGACTTGTAACCTTGAAATTGTCCATGCTTTTCCACAATTTTTGTTTTCACATCCTCAGACAATTCTTTGCTATGATTTCTCTTCTCCATGCTCCATGTGGCACACAGAGACACACAACAGACAAGTTGAGTCAGATTTTCACCATTTTAACTGGTTGCCAGTGTGATTTCTATATTGTCAACACCTGTTAATCGATACAGGCGAGTTTAATTACAAATTACAGGAGCATCACAAAGTTGGAATGCAATTATTTCTTAAAATTTTGAGAATGTGCCAAAAATTTTCTCCAGTCCATTTTGGGGATTTTGGGTGGAATTGTCAGATTTTGGCTTTTTGTTTCTCCACTTTTTTGTGTCATACCACCACAAACAAATGAAATAAACTTGAGATGCCCAAACATTTTGCATCAATTTTCTGGGCGAAGTGGTGCATTATCTGACAGTGCAGGGGTGTCAATATTTTTGGCCATGACTGTATATATATTAAAACAGTATAAAGCATATTAAGTATGTATCAGACTACAAATTATTATGAGTTAACGCTTAATTTGCATTTTTTTTTTAACTTTTCAACAACCAATCACAATTTCAAAGGAGGTAAAATACTCCTTAAAATACAGGACTACAAAGGCAATAAACCGAAGATCATTATATTTGCGGATTCTGAAAATGGTTATCTTGGACAACTTGTGGGGAATAAGAAGGAAAACAGTATTTGTAAAACTATGTCATTAACCACCATGTCATTTGGGTTTTGCTTTTCACTATCTGTTAACCTCCTTAGCGGTTTTCCCGAGTGTAGCTCAGGGTAAAATTTGAGTACCAAGAGCGGTAACCCCGAGCTACACTCGGGCTTACCATGCGGTGTTGCTCAGGGGGTCCCTGCAGCACTTACCTTGTCCTTTGCTCCCGCGATGTGTCCCCTGCAGCGTCCCCGGCCATCTCCTCCAGCCGATGCCGGCATCCGGCTTCCGTGTTCCGATCCCTGTGACGTCGGGACGTACGGGCGCCGGAACCGGCGGGAAATTTGAAATTTTTTTAAAATTAAATTTTTGCTGTCATTGCTGTTTCAATGCATTTCACATATATTTTGTGCCTACTGCTTTGTCCTGTGCCCTGCCTGCATTTTGACTGTTCTTTCTGCCTGGAAACTTAGAAAGTCCATGGCGTCCAAAAAGCGTCCCTTTACGTCAAAAGCGATTTTAGAACAGCAATAGTAAATCAGAACCACTTGCAGAATTGAGTGATAATGATTCGTGGGGAAATTCGTCATCAGACACTGAAAACGATTTTGCAACTTTGCTCAGCGATGTGCGAATTTGCCTGTGTATTTCAAATTTCAGTGTTTTTGGTTTGATTATATTATTGAATTAAATTTATTATTATTATTATTATTATTTTTTATGAATATTTATTAAATTATAATTTATGATTTCGTGTTTCAAGTTTTATCATATCCAGAATGTTTACTAGACTCTTGTTTGTACAGATTTCAGTGAGTTATTCCTAAAAATTACAGCCTACAATAAAAAACTACATATTTCCATGCAAAAAAAAATGGTACCGCTTTCAGCACAAAAAAAAAAATCGGAAAGAATCATACCGCCGAGGAGGTTAAGAAACTATGTATTATGTCGTTACCTGTACTTCTTCACTGGAGTCTGCCTCTGTCATGGGCATTCCCTCTCCACCACTATCTGCAGTCTTTGGTCGAATCTTCACGTTTTCTTCATCTATCTGAACACGTGTGTTTTCAAAGTCCTCATCAAATGTATGATCATAAACTGATATTGCCTGTAAAATTTCATCGCTGGTGGTGAACAATATTGTATCCCCAAATTGTTCTGCAGTTGAGAAATGAAAAAATAAAAGTTAAAATAGACAAACAGAATATAGATAGCAATGTTTCAAAATACTTTCTGCAAAATCAGTCTGTGTAAATCTTGCAGTTACCCATGATGTAATTGTATTTAGCAATACTGCCCTAATCCCTAATATACACCAAGCTGTGATTGCATTTCACTGTACAGCTACTGGGAACCGATTTTTATTGAGATTTCTACATGTATATACACACACACACAATACTGCCAAAAGTATTAGGATATTCCTCCAAATCATTGGATTCAGGTGTTCCAATCACCTCCATGGCCACAGGTGTATAAAATCAAGCACCTAGGCATGCAGACTGCTTCTATTTGTGAAAGAATGGGTTGCTTTTAGGAGCTCAGTGAAAATCAAGCGTGGTACCGTGATAGGTTGCCACCTGTGCAATAAATCCATGCGTGAAATTTCCTTCCTACAAAATATTCCACGGTCAACTGTTAGTGGTATTATAACAAAGTGGACGCAACTAGGAACAACAGCAACTCAGTTGTAGGCCATGTAAAATGACAGAGCAGGGTCAGCGCATGCTGAAGCGCACAGTGTGCAGATGTTGCCAACTGTCTGCAGAGTCAAAAGCTAAAGACCTCCAAACCTCATGTGGCCTTCAGATTAGAACAACAACATAGCACAAGTGTGCAGAGAGCTTCATAGAATGGGTTTCCATAGCTTAGCAGCTGTATCCAAGCTTTACATCACCAAGTACAACGCAAAGCGTTGGTGAAAGTGGTGTAAAGCTTGCCGCCACTGGGCAGTGGAGACGTGTTTTCTGGAGAAACAAATCATGCTTCTCTGTCTGGCAATCCAATGGACGAGTCTGGGTTTGGTGATTGCCAGGAGAACGGTACTTGCCTGACTGCATTGTGCAAAGTTTGGTGGAGGGTGGATTATGGTGTGCGGTTGTTTCTCAGGGGTTGGGCTTGGCCTCTTAGTTCCAGAGAAGGGAACTCATAAGGCGTCGGCATACCAAGACATTTTGGACAATTTAATGCCCCCAACTTTGTGGGAACAGTTTGGGGATGGCCCCTTCCTCTTAAAAACATAACTGCGCACCAGTGCACAAACCAAGGTCCGTAAAGACATGGATGAGTGAGTTAGGGGTGGAGGAACTTAACTGGCCTGCACAGGGTCCTGATCTCAACACGACAGGACACCTTTGGGATGAATTAGAGCAGAGACTGTGAGCCAGGCCTTCTAGTCCAACATCAATACCTGACCTTACGAATGCGCTTCTGGAAGAATGGTCAAACATTCCCATAGACACACTCCTAAACCTTTTGGACAGCCTTCCCAGAAGAGTTAAAGTGGTTATGTTTCTTTAAAAAAACATAAGAGGGTTAAATGGACCAGCAGAAGGGGTTTAAATACGTGAAATTAAGCTTAACACATGGTGGTGCAGAGAGAGTTTGGGAAAGGTTTTTGCTGTGAGAGCTGCAGTATTATTGACTCTGCTGGAAACTACCTCTGGGTTGGGAAAACACCCCAAAAATATCTTTACATCAGGTGCACTAGGACTTCACTAGGGGGACCTTGCCTAGCACAGTCCCAAAGCAAGACAAGACAAGACAAAAAGCCTTGCTTCTCATGTGAACAGTTCACACCACTGTGTTGCAGTGGTGCGTGCTGAAAAAAACTACTGAATGAAATGCTTGTGTGTGAATATAACGTATAATGTCACAATGTGGGAGGGCCCACAGAGAATCTGCCAGGAGTCTAAGAATACCCAAATACTACATCCTCCTTGGCCAATCTGGTTCAGTGAGATTCACTGGAATACCTTCCATCTTGTTCCGGCAGATCAGATAAGGGAGAGTCTGGAGGGATAGAAAGTCACAGATCAGGCTAAACTGATTCCTTGGTATCACCAGAATGTCCACTGTGAATGAGTGAATGTACCTGGCGACAAATATATACAGTTTGTTGCTGAAACTGAACCCCAGAACTTCCACATCTGGTATCCGCCACCTGCAGCAGGGAGCTTAAAACTCCTTGGTGGAAGAGAATGGAACATGCAGTTCTGACCAAGAGATGATCGTGTCTGCTTCTTTTTGAGTAGCGCTATTTCTGGTACCATTTTGATGATTGGTGTAGGTCACAACCTTTACACTGACAGGATTGTCATCGGGTGCCCTCGCAACTGGAAGGTCCAGCATCGAATGGACAACTGAATCACCCAGAGCTCTGGAATGCTGATGGAAAGACAGGCTTCCTCCAATGACCAATTCCACTAGAACAAGAGAACATCTAGAACTGTTCCCCAGCCTGACAGCCTGGAATGCTTCCTGAGAACTTTCCACATCTTTGGAACAAAGGGCTTCCCTGACTCCTCCACACAGGAAGATTCTGAACTGGGAGGTAATATGCATAGTGTGGGTCCAAGGACATTACTTTGTCCTATGCTGCCCAAAAGTTAATTTGCAATGTCCTGAAGTGAAACTGGGTGTATGGCATTGCCTTGAAGGAGGCAAATATTAGGCCCAAGATCCTTATGCATCTATGATGTGAGGCTTCAACAGGGTTCGAGAATGAGAAAGGAGGAACAAAAGTTTGTCCCAAGGCAGGAAGATCGCAAACAGAGCCATGTCCAATGGCAGGTCCAGGTATTCTAATTCATCAAATGGATCTAGTGATGACTTCTTCACGCTGAGCATCAAATTGAAGCTCTGTAAAGTCTGCATTGTCCTCTGGATGTTGGCTAGAAGGACTGATCCTTTAAAAAAAGATTGTCCTGGTAACCTACAACTCGAATCCTCTACACACAGAGAAAAAGCTAAGACTGGGGGGCAAGCCCCTTTGTAACAACTCAGGGAGACAAACAGGCATTCAGCTTCCAAGGGTAAGTGCTCAAGAAGTTTCTTGCAAGGGAGCCCAGCTGATTAACATTATGATGGAACCAGAATCATGAGCCATACAATTAGTCTAGAGAACAATGGTCTGACAGACTGCCATAGAAGCAACTGCAGGCATCATGGCGGGCCCTCAAATAAAAAAAAAAAAAAAAAAAAAAGGAAGGGCCTTTAACATATTTTGCACCAAGTCCTTGAGCATGGTATTATCCTCCAGAGACCAGCACTAGAGGTAAATGATTAGCCTTTGGGCTAAAAGAAGAACACTTTTCAACTAAGCATTGGAGAGGAGACCCACCCCAATGACTGCCCATATGCACAATCAATCAGTCTCCTCACTTGTTGAAGTCAGGGTGCACCTTCATGCAGGAAGGTGTTCAAAGGAATCAAATGACCTCTAGCTAAGACTTCCACATTCAGTAGGAGTCAAGCTGTAAAAGCCTGCAAGTACCCACTGGGGAAGTAGAGGAGAGAAGGGTGAGAATGCTCCCAACCCCTCTTCTGACCTCTTGAACTGGGGTAGGAGCACATACTGACCAGCCATGGTATTGCTGATCATGGTGTCAAGGGCAGATCCAAAAAGTGTCCCTCAAAAAGCAAATACATTAGATACTTATTGGATGCAGCATCAGCATCCCAGCTACACAGCCAGAGTGCTTTGTGCATCTCAATGGACATCAGATCTATGCTAGAAGCTAATTTAGATGCTTTTAACAAGCCATTACAACTTGCATTACATTACAAGCACAGGGACGTTTTGACATTTGCTACAACAATTCCACAGGGGCCTAGGTTGGTAGTAAAGAGATCATTTTTGAAGGAATCCACCTATTCTTGCAGATTAAAGTCATAGCCAACATGGCATGAAAGGTAAAACTAGTTAAATCAAACTGGGGTTTAAGATGAGACTCTCACGGCCTATCAGTGGAATACTGAAAAGTTAGCATACCTTCAACCAGTTTAATGATGTTTCTGTTAAAGTGAGTCACAGGTACATCTAAAATAGATACAGACCACAGTTTAACACATTCCCTTTCAAAACGGTAAAGCTCAGACACACTCCACACAGAGGACTGCCTAATATAGCTGATGCAGTGGAAAGGACTTTGCAGCCACAGGATCTCTAAATGACCCAAGGCCTGGGACAACAGGCTGACTCTCCAGATGCAGGGTAGAACGAACTGCATTAATAAGGTCAGAAAGAACCCCTAGTAAGTCTGGGGTGACTGCAAGAGAAAGAGGTGCCTCCAAGACAGTCTTTTCAGGAATAGACTGCTGAGACTCAATCTCAAATCAGAAATGGCGACAGGGACCAGAACTAGAATCTGCAGGAGATGGGGCTGGAGTGCATATGTGGCCAAATAATCTGAGTAGATGTAGAGGTACTTAAACGCAGATCATATGAACCCTATAAACTATTAAAACACAGAATTTCAGATTGCAGGTTCCAGTACCTTCTGTATAAACACCCACAGAACCACTAGGGGAGTATGGGCTGAGGTCACTCACAACAGCGGGGCTGTCCCCTGTGTCTGTGTGAAGACATGTTTGATTCTCCACAGTGATGATTCATCTAGGCCCAAAATGTGAGACAAGGCCTGCCTGCAAATCTGGAAAGCCTGCACTTATGAGAGATAAGCAGTCAGAGGTGACCAGGTCACTAGGCAGGCAGTGGAATTGGACCATGGTGTTTAAGATTCATATAATGTTTCACAAGCAGAAGCAGCAGTGGGATGGTACTTACTCTAGGCTGAATAGTGAGAAAGAAAATGAAGCGCACAGAGTTGCACCCAGCGGGTAATATCTGCCCTCCATCACCACCTGTAATTATTGTGATAAACTGGCAGTAGCAAGAATTTTGAAAAAGGCACCCAGAGGTGACCACAGTGAGATAGTTCCCAGAGCTTTAGCCTGAATGGCCCTACTCACAAGGCAAATCATTAGGGCCAGAGTTACACTTGGGGCACTGCCATGGCTCTGGACCTGGAGAGTTCTCCCTAGCTAAGTTATCCAATAGACTCATCTGGAAAGTTCCACAATACAAAACCCAGGGACCAAAGCTCATATTCCAAGCTAGCCCCACACATCAAGTCCGCCAGGGTCTGGATATGGCACTCCAAAGTCATTCTTAGGAAAGGTCAATCAAGATCTATACAGGGACCAGCTCAAACAGCAGCATTCCAGCTACACTTAGAGAAACTAGGAACATGGTTCTCCCCACCCCATACAAACTCGGTGACAGCATAATTTAAGGAGCTTCCAGGGGGTGGTCACTAGTCCGTACTGCACATATCCCTACCCTAAGGGGTACAGTTGGCTGTCACCACAAGGTGACAACTGGGGATCACCACCATGGACCTGTATAGCACCATACTGGTTCACAAGAAAATAGATCGTTGCATAAGATCTCACATTATGCAAGGTCCAGTGCCAACCAGCAATGTTACAGATATGGGGGTCTGGGTATTATTCCTCTTAGCTGACTGCTGTAGGAATAGATCCAGATAAGCCAGTCTCCTATTCCCAGATGGAATCTGCACAGACATGACCATCAGGCTATGCCTGGCTACGAGGGGTTATGCCTGGTAGGGATTCCATTTGGCAGGTCGCGGTTCAAATCCCAACCACGGTACCACCTGCCTGGAGTTTGCATGTTCTCCCTGTGCCTGCGTGGGTTTCCTCCGGGTACTCTGGTTTCCTCCCACACTCCAAAGACATGCTGGTAGGTTAATTGGCTCCTGTCTAAATTGGCCCTAGTATGTGTATGTATGAATGTACATTAGGGACTTTAGATTGTACACCCCTTGAGGGTAAGGGACTGATGCGAATGTACAATATGTATGTAAAGGGCTGCGTAAATTGACAGCGCTATATAAGTACCTGAAATAAATAAATGTCTGCTTTTTAAAGTACATCTCTGTTGATCATAAAAAGAAAGAAAGGTAAGTGTGCATCTTCTTTTTCAGGTTGCCCACATTCCAATTTATTCCACAAGGAAATGGCATAATTTTGAAGGTTGAATACTTATCCAAGCAAGACTTAAGATCTATAATAATAATGCTCAATCAATCATTTGTTATTGCTTTTTTTATACTCTATCATGTCTATTCAACAGAACAAGAGTTTTGAGAAAAGTTTCTTCCATTCCTGTCTATGTGAAAAGTGTAGTACAGAATAAAATAAGAAATCTATATTATGGGGGAAACAGAAGTTATTTAAAATCTGACAGGAAAATCTCAGTGGGGGCATGGGCAGCATGGGAGAATGACCAATTCCTTTTGATAATTCTAGATGCCTGGCTGTCAAACTGCCCTGCAACAAAATTAGAGATAAGGAATTCTGACACTCTTTTACAACATGCAAGTTTCGGGTCCATGACTCAAAAGAGTGCTGACACTGGCAACAAGCATTTTTAGCAGGCCAGCGATGGTAGGCCTACTTCTCTCATGGCAAGGTCTTTTTGTAGCTGGGCAGACGTCCTAATGTTTTCCAAGTCCAACTTTAAATGGATAACTGATTATTTTAACAAATATCAAAAAAGCATTGTACATACCTCCAGAAAGTGTGCCTGATGCCTTGGCAATTTCTCCTTTAAAAATCAAAGTATGATCTAGAACAATTTCCATGTCCTTAACACCACGGAATGAATGAATTCTTGATTTATTGTAGTTCCAAATTCTGATCATAGCAATTTGACATGGGGATGCGAAGTCTAAGTAAATGTACTGAATCTTTCCAAGAGTGAATGGTGCTAACCAAAGATGCATATCGTCTTGTGTGTTGTTAACACCATCAATAAGGTTTGACACAACTCTAGGGTCTTTACTAAATGTAGATAATGTATTTTTATTGGGAGGATAAGCTTCAATTTTTGTTATAGGAACAGGGTTGCCTGTGGAAGAATATAGTTCTATTCCATTAAGTCCAGCATAATGTCTATCTCCCCAGGTAGTGACTATTTTAATGCATAAACGTTGACCAAACGGTAAAACTGGTATTTCAAACTCAATTCCATCATCTTTGTCATTTTCATACAAATTCACATCTGTTGCATTGAACAGTTCTTGGTTATCTCTCTTTGCTACATGTTGCCTTCCAAATTTTTTGCTGCTGCAAAAACTCATCAAAGATATCTCCTTCAAACTCCATGTTTGAGATTCGACCACGCTGAGACCGATTGAATTTCACTAACGAAGTCCAGGACTCCATAAGGCTATTGTTATCTTGATCCCTGCTACAACTCTGCTTGAAGTTAACATTTCCTTGATTACCTAAAAGTAAAATAATAAGAAAAACATGGAACTGTAAGTGCCAATTTTGTTGATTTACTAAAGGAATAAAGTGTGCTCACTTTGCAAAGCAAATTTTTACTTAGCTTAGTGAATGAGTTGACACCAAGAAAAAATTCACTTTGCAAAAAATACTTACTTGAATGCAAAGAAAATATAACCCCCCCCCCCCACAAAAAAAAAATAGGATTTTAACTAGCACATGATCGGAAGACTGAAGTCAACTTAGTTTCACCTCAGTTACTAAGCCAAGTGAAAATGTACTTTGTCATCAAGTGAATTTTTACTTTGCAAAGTAAACTTTCACTTAGCTTAGTAGAGGTGAAGCTGTGGTGAATTCAGTTGAAAAAAGATCCTGTTTTTAAAAATTTCCATGCATGATTGGGTGTTCTTTGCAATGTTTTTCCCCCACTTAGTTTTACCTTACTAAGCTAGGGGAAAAATTAATTTTGCTTTTTACACTCCTTTTATAAATCAACCTCAATATTTTCACAAAAATAATATGCTGATCTATCCTGTTAGTTGACTGAACACTGCTCATATCAGACTTGCATTTCAAGCCAAATGTAGTAAACAAGTCAAATGAATGGAAACTAATGTACAAAATCCTAAAGCTTAAGTTTACTTGAAAACAAATATTAAAAAATAGGCACAAGGGACATTACTTACTATCAGAGTGAGGTTTCCATTGCGCTGCGATCTCCTGGTTAAGTAGAAATCTTCCCCTCTGATCCCTCCCCTGCTGTCAAAATCATCTATTGCGGCGTGTGAAAGGCGTTTATCAGGACTGCCTGGCTACATCTGCCCTTTCCACCCACCTTCACCAGCTGTACTGTAGCTTCTATGAATAAAATGTGATCTATGAATGGACAGGCAGATGATTGAAAAGTTCGCTTCCTCCAGTCATAGATCATGTTTAATTAATAGAAGCAATAGTAAGGCTTCTATGAATGGAGGAAGTTGGCAGAAAGGGCAGGCATAATCGGGCACTCTGATAAGAGGAGACATACAGTGGATATAAAAAGTCTACACACTCCTATTAAAATGTCAGGTTTCTGTGATATAAAAAAAAAAAAAGAGACAAAGAAATAATTTCAGAATTTTTTCCACCTTTAATGTGGGGAAGGGGAGGGGGGTAGTAAACATAAAAAAAACTAAAATACTGTGGTTGCATAATGCATAAGTGTGCACACCCTCTTATAACTGGGGATGTAGCTGAGTTCAGAATAAAGCAATCACATTAAAAATCATGTTAAATAGCAGTCCGTACACACCTGCCATCATTTAAAGTGCCTCTGATTAACCCCAAATAAAGTTCAGCTGTTCTAGCAGGTCTTTCCTGACATTTTCTTAGTCACATCCTACAGCAAAAGCCATGGTCCGCAGAGAGCTTCCAAAGCATCAGAGGGATCTCATTGTTAAAAGGTATCAGTCAGCAGAAGGGTACAAAAGAATTTTCAAGGCATTAGATATACCATGGAACACAGTGAAGACAGTCATCATCAAGTGGAGAAAATATGGCGCAACAGTGACATTACCAAGAACTGGACGTTCCTCCGAAATTGATGAAAAGACAAGAAATAAACTAGTCTGGGAACCTGCCAAGAGGCCTACAGCAATATTAAAGGATCTGCAGGAATATCTGGCAAGTACTGGCTGTGTGGTACACGTGACAACAATCTCTCGTATTCTTCATATGTCTGGGCTATGGGTTAGAGTGGCAAGACAGAAGCCTCTTCTTACGAAGAAAAACATCCAAGCCCAGCTAACAAATAAAAATATCTACGTCCGACTAAATTTTGCAAAAACACATCTGAAGTATCCCAAAGGCATGTGGGAAAATGTGTTATGGTCTGATGAAACCAAGGTTGAACTTTTTGGCCATAATTCCAAAAGATATGTTTGGTGCAAAAACACTGCACATCACCAAAAGAACACCATACCCACAGTGAAGCATGGTGGTGGAAGCATCATGCTTTGGGGATGTTTTTCTTCAGCTGGAAATTGGGCCTTAGTCAAGGTAGAGGGAATTATGAACAGTTCCAAATACCAGTCAATAATGGCACAAAACCTTCAGGCTTCTGCTAGGAACTTCATCTTTCAGCAAGACAACGACCCAAAGCATACATCCAAATCAACAAAGGAATGGCTTCACCAGAAGAAGATTAAAGTTTTGGAATGGCCCAGCCAGAGCCCAGACCTGAATCTGATCAAAAATCTGTGGGGTGATCTGAAGAATGCTGTGCACAAGAGATGCCCTCGCAATCTGACTGATTTGGAGTGTTTTTGCAAGGAAGAGTGGGCAAATATTGCCAAGTCAAGATGTGCCATGCTGATAGACTCATACCCAAAAAGACTGAGTGCTCTAATAAAATCAAAAGGTTCTTCAACAAAAGTATTAGTTTAAGGGTGTGCAACCACATTATTTTTACTGCCCTCCACCTAAACAATTTCAGTTTGTTGTTCAATTGAGTTGTATAGTTTATAGGTCACATTAAAAGGTGGAAAAAGTTCTGAAATTCTTTATCTTTGTCTTATTTTTTTACATCACAGAAACCTGAAATTTTAACAGGGGTGTGTAGACTTTTTTATATCCACTGTAAATGCTGTTAGTCTTTACTAGACTGTGCAAATAGATTGTAATATCTATGATCACTTGTCCAAACTGAGCAATTCAAAATCCTAAACTGCAAAGTAAATATACTGTATACAGCTAAAATAACTAAAGTAGGTTTACTTGAGATTGTGTAACCATAACAAAAAGCTGGACATACTCCTAATAATCTCTTCTGTAAAATAATTTTCTTACATTTTGACTGTAAAAATATTCTAATTGTTGTACCATTCAACCTAAATTTAGCAGCATTTGCAATTACATTGTTAAGTGTGTCATTTTCTGTGTGTAAGAAAATTTTTCAAATGTATGGATATATACTAGACACCTCAAGCTGCAGATACCTGCATAAAGTCTTAAATGTCACATCACTTGGACAATAGATTTATGATGTTGGTTCATGGAGAGAGTCTTTTACTTTAAAAAGAGAATAACCTTCACTTAAAAAAACTCTAATTAGTAAGGCAATTCATCACCCTTAACAGTAACTGATGAACCTTTGGAAGAGTATATAATCAGTAGTTTTTAAAGCAACTCTGTGGCTTCCCCGGGAAAAATGTAAACCACCAGCCCCTACATTACATTACCTCTGTAGTGATGTAGGGGTCAGAGGAAGGAACCATAGCATACAGTGAAAGATACGGGTACTGGACACTTACAGACAAAGGTTACAAATGTTGCAGATATTGCCGATGGCTGCAGTGCTGGAAGAAAGTTCAGACGTGTTGGCTGCTGGTGAGGTAAGAACTCAGTCTTCTATACAGGAGGTCCTAAATTTTTCTTGGGAAGCACTAGTCACTTTAAAATTGTATAGCATGAAAATGACATTGTTCTCTTGCAATTACTACTCTCAATGCTGTATATACTGTACGTGTTCCAACTAAAAATCTTTAGATTAAAAAAATAACAAAAAATTAAAGTGTAACTTCAGTCAGAAAATTAAGTCCTGCTAGATCAGTTCAGGCTGGCCCCTTTCACAGGTATAGCTATTTAAAACATTACAAATGAGTGCCTTCAATGTCTAAAATCCACTAATACACTGTCTCACCCTGCTCTGCACATGCTCAGTTGCTCTCTATTTTTTGGCACTGTGCCTAAAATGTTGAGGCCGATCTGCTGACAGCCTGAAGATTTACTGCTACTCAGGAGCTCTGGGCTTCAGCAAAATGGCAGCCGCCAGCAAGAAGAAACAGGAAAAGTGCTGGAAGCAATTTACAGCACACACTAATTTTGGTAGCATAATTATTAATTTGGAATGTATAATGATAAATAACATTGTTGTGGGTAAATTCTGCTTTAACATTTAGACGTGTCTAAACCTGCCACTCCTCGGAATAGCAATCTGCATTCGGATTGCTTATCAGGGATGACTGATAGGTGGTGAGAAGGAGATGTGATGCCTCCTCACCGCCTGTTTAAAATCAGATCATTTTTATTGTAAAACTTTTCTGCTCAAATAAAGAACAGTTACGGGTCACAACAGTAAACAGGTATAAAACCATAGAAAAGTGCAGTGTTTCCAGGTAAAGTAAATATCAGTAGTCAATGTACAGCCATTAAATAAAACAGAGAAAGCTGGGTTTTTAGTAGGCTAACAGTTTGCATAGGTAACAATACACTAGAGCAGTGGTTCTCAACCTGTGGGTCGCGACCCCTTTGGGGGGTCGAACAACCCTTTCATAGGGGTCGCCTGAGACCATTAGAAAAACACATATTTCCGATGTGTAAAGAGCAGCTACTGTGTAGAAAGCAGCTGCTGTGTTGAAAGCAGCTACTCTGTTTAAAAGCAGCTACTGTGTTGAAAGCAGCAGTATTGGAGGTAAAACGACACTTCATGAATTATAATTACTGAGTAAATAATTTTATGGTTGGGGGTCACCACAACAGGAGGAACTGTATTAAAGGGTCGTGGCATTAGGAGGGTTGAGAACCACTGCACTAGAGTAAAATATAATCACAGAAAATGCTTCAAAATCTACAATGTAATATCAAGGAGATATGCTGGTGGAAATAGTAAAAGATACATTTCTATTGCCCAAGGAGAACCACAGTGACCACAATTTTTTTAACTTTTTAAGACATCCCCTATGTTGATAGGTCAATCTCTTCCTTTCAAGAATATTGTTGGCTGCATTTTTCTACTGCAAGAATGTTGGAGGAATGGGAAACAACCATTGTTCTGCTAATAATTTCAAAGTTATAAAAAGTAGTCTTAGAACTAATATTTTGAGAGTTTGGGTCAATATACCTCCGAGATGATACTCAAAAGGGCAATTTTAGGGTCCATAGGCAAAGAAAGGGATCATAAACTGCTAATAATTTGAAAAATGTACTTCAAATACCTAAACAACCTAGGACATCTCAACAG